TTATTTTATAACTTTTTGTTACTGGTTGTCTTCAAGTGCACTAAAATGGATTGAAATTCATTGAATATTGCAATATTAAAAAATACTGATAATGATAGTAAGGATGGAAAAGGTGGTACCTGGTAACAGATAAGTATTTTGCCGGTTAAGTCAAATTACCGGATATCAGTTTCATAATCAAAATAGGTATCGATAAAAATACTCGTAGGGTTATGCATGAAAAATTAAAGAAGTATATTGTGGTGTAAACAAATACATAAAACATGTGGGAAGAGATGCTAACGTTACAGTATAGTCTCTGTAGGTAGTTTGGATACGATTTAGACGCCATCTATCAGTCTAAATAGTGTACCTCCCTATTGAATGTATTGTAATTTTTTTGTTTAAAATATTTGTGTATTCCTGCAATCTGCCCGCCCTAAGGCACTTAGCTAGAGGTTACGAACTTTCAATTAGTCCTGAATGAAACTAGCCCAGTGGCCAGCCCATTTGCTTTCGCCAAGAAGTCATATGAGGTCTTGGGGGCTTTTCGTTTTATTCGTTGAAATGTGTTGGTCGTCTTGTGCATCAGATTACATGCAAGTGTATTAGGATGTTTTTCAATGCGTTTGGCGTAAGAAATTAGATTTTCTATAATTTCCTGTTTCACCATTGGCATATTCAGGTCGCGGTGGAGTTGGATATTCGTAACATACCATGGTGCGTATATTTGTTATCATGCGCGTTTATATCAGGGTGTTTAACTGAAAATGTTGTAGGATTTCCAGGATTGAGTCGGCCGCAGTTCCACGCAGCTCGACTCCGTATGATCTAGTCATAGTTTGGATTTGCGAGACATCAGCCAATTCATCTTCCTCAGTTGTAAGGCGAGTGCTTTTCTTTCATATTTTTATATGCTTTTTCCATATTAGTCTTTTGTCAAGGTATATACCCAAGTAATGCACTTCATCGTGTTGAGGTATGTGAATGCCATTTAATTCGACAGGTGGGATGCCCCGCGGCTTAGTGTGAGGGCCACATGAACAGATTTGTCCTCGTTAGCCCTGATACGCCTTTGGGATGTAGCTTTTTTATATTATAGCGGAAGCACATTTTGGATTTTCATGTTTAGCTAGGATTGCTGTGTCGTCTGCAAATGCGCCCACAATATCGATTACTGGTAGGTCATGCGTGAATATAAGGTATAAGAGTGGACCTAGAACGCTGCCTTGGGGAACTCCAGTTTTGAAATCATGTAACTCGGTTTTTTCATCTCCATGCTTAACGTAAGTTAAGTAAGTTGAGTTAAGTATGATTTTATTAATTTGTAGTAGCTTGGAGGGAGGGCTTTCAGTATTTTATAAAGGAGTCCGTCGTGCCACACCCGATCAAAGGAATGTGAGATATCGAGAAAGGCAGACGTACACTACTTCTTATATGCAAAAGCGGAATTAATCACATTCTTTGACCCGTCAAAGAACCTGCTCCAGTCCCATGGGCGAATTATAAATTAAATATTGTAAATAAATGAACCCCTTTTGTTAAATATCTTCTATCATAAATGTTAAATATCTTTTAAAGATATTTAAATACTCTGTAGTATCTGGATTAGATACATGTTAACAACACGTCATAAGTTACAGCTTGTAACATGTATGTCGTGTTCGATTCATGCCTTTTTGAATGAACAAGATAGTCATATCTATAACTAATATATAGATAGTTAAATAGGTAGTAATACTACATTGTTAACAAATACCTAAGCAGGTACTTCTGATAAAGAACATGATAACAGTCTTGTAGACAACTCTTATTATTATTATAAACTATTAAAAAGTATCGTACAATTAAACAATCGTATAACAAGGTATTGTGGTTGCTTTTATAATTTGCAAGACACGATGCATTCATGCATCGTTTTTAACAGTAATCTTAATTTACATATAAAACTTATTTTGCCGCCATTTTTATGTTGCGTAGGTGACTAAAGTAGTTAATATAAGTAGTTTTTAAAAACTTACCATAATGTGTCTGTGTTTTTTTTTCGAACGGTGTTTATGACAATGCAAGGGATGTTTTTTAGTCGTTGCAATTGGAAGTTCTCTTCGACGCAAACATTTGTCAGTTTCCCGCGAGGAGACTGCTGCTATGCGGGCGACCGCGGTACACATCTTTGCATGTACATAGATAACGTATGTTTATATTTCTAATTACCGGTTTAGGGATCCGGTTTATCAAAACGTTCGAAGGGAACGTTTGTAACGAGGATACCGGTAAATACGATAGGTATTAGAAAAAATTGAAATAAAATATTTTATTTTTGTTAGTATCACTTGGAACCGGTACCATATTTTTGTATTGCATTGAAATCTCTTGAATACAGACTGAACACTGACTTGATTAAGGCAAGAACACATAGAAACATCGTATTTATACGAAGATCCACTTCAGTGTATAGGGCATAAACAGAAAGAACATAGTAACAATACAAAGCAGGCATATTTTACAACTGATTTCAGGCGCTGCGCTTTTGTAATAAAGTTAAAAATTATATTCGATGTTATCTTGTTTAGCGAACAAGATAACCGTTACAATACAGTGTACTTTAGATAGTTACTTCATAGCAATTATCTCAGTTGACCAGTCGTCTTGGAATGATTTTACTGAGCATGTGTACTTATAGTTACAGAGATACAAAATAGCAATTATCTCAAATAGACAGTCGCTTAGACATTATTGTAATTTTCTTTGGTAAACGCTTTAAACGAGAAGCCACTTCACCTGATGATAAGTGACTTCCGCCATCCATGGACACCTACAACTTGTTATAAGTGCTTCGCCTCCATTTGAATCCCGCCCCAGAGCTAGGGTGCGGGTTGGCCTTCTCCTTCCCTAACTTACTCGGAGAAAAGCAAGGAAAAAACTTAACGTTTTTCTGCATCACTCCGTTCGAGCTGGCACACACCTGGTACTCCTACATTTGGCACAATACAAAATGTAAAAAAACAATTTAGTGTAAGAAATTCTCCTTCATGGTAAAAAAAACTAGGTTTTTACTAAAAAGGAAAAGAGGGAGAATTGCACTGTCGATAGATATTATAAGAGTCGATTGAAAACAAGCTCTTAGTGTCCCTATAAGTTTAAATATATCAGTAGGGATACATATATGGAATCATCAACAGCCTTTACTAGTCCACTGCTGGACATAAACCTCCTTTCTAAGGAGAGGCCTATGGCCAATATATGTGGAATGTGGTAATATTATTACATATTTTGGTACCTATGTGTGTTTAACCTTTAACTCTATCTTTCATTTCTGCTATTGTGACTATAACAAAGCAACTAAAACTTATGCAGGACAATGCTTACATTGCAATAAATAAATAAACAATAATTGAAATCCTTTTATTAAAACAAACAACAAATTATTGAACTAATTGTATCTTACAAGTCATTACACTCGTAGGAAACCATTTCGAATATCATTATATATCTGATGTAGAGACATTCGTTAATTATAAATATTTCTATTTCGTTAATTTATGACCACAACTTGAAACTCTTGCAAACAATAGGATAGGTCCTTTGAATATTAATAACAATGAAATTTGTCAATCTTGGTCTTTGAAATACTTTATTTAATATTGTAATATATACTAACAACATTTTAAATAATAATAATAATAACCTCACACTTCAGACACACGGCCGTCTGATCCCAAACTAGGCAGAGCCTGTACTTTGGTAACCAGACGGCTGATGAACATACTTATATATTTTTAAATACATACATATTATAGATAAATTATACTCAGACACAGAACAAATGACCGTGCTCATCATACAAATATTTGACCTGGGTGGGAATCGAACCCACGGCCGCCGGCTTTGCAGCCAGGGTCACTAACTACTAGACCAACAGGCCCGTAGATTCTAAAGGAACTATGCACACAGCCTAAATTTAAAAATAAATTGAATATCAAATTATAAACTAAGTACGTAATGCTCCTTATATGTGCTTAAGGTTAAAGTGAAGCCCTTTTTAGGACACTATCGTTAAGAAATATGTCCGTTACTTGATTAGAAAAAAAAAGTAATTTGTCTTCAAACAATATTATGAAATACTGATCATAAAATGCAACGTGGTATTTAATAACTGTTAAATGGTGGAGCGGGAATGCTAAAATAAAATTTCTAACATAAAAATTATTAACACATTGAAATATTTTAAAGAAAAGTTTTGTACTAAATACTTACACAAATATAACCCCAACTAATATCTAAGTTTATCTAGTATAAAAATCATAATGTAAGATACTTTAGGCGTTACTGTTACGTAGATTTTTAAAATTCACACATTTAATTAAGTTAATTTTGATTACAGAACGAAACATTCGAAAATTAAGAATAAAAAAACAATAAGGGCCATACAATAATCACTATCTGTATCTAACATAACTATATAGTTTTGATTTATGTTTATGTGTGAAAAGATAGCCTTATAAAAGCAATTTTTTAATACGCTTTATTGGATATTGAACATTATGCTAATCAGCCATAAGGTAATTAATTATTATAAAATCAATTTTAATCATTTGTGTCATCTGGTTGGCATTATTTTACTTATGGGAAAGAAGTTACGCGCTCTGAGCGGATGAGAGCGAGACACTTCAGTTGGCGCGTCGACACTCGCATCATATAAATAGCAAAAGTCTACCGACAAGCGAAAAGAACTCCGTTTCGTCCGGCGGCCCATATGTCGTTTTTTTATTAATTGATTTGTGATTGCTGTCAATTAGTCTAAATTAACCTAAATATGTAATTTAGTTCATAATAAATAACTTTGTGACCGTCTTATTTTCGTATATGATCACATACTGATTCATTAGTTATGTAATAAGTAATAACCGGTTACTGAAGGTTCCCATCCGTTGATTAATTCCATTAAAAAAGCAACTCTCTTTACAGGTCAATATGTTCGCATTTAGCGATATTGGTTAGTAAAGTAATAAATCCAACTTTTAAGATATCTTCAATTCACGAGACCTATTCAACATATAGTGTGATACGTTCTCGTAGGTCAAGAATGTAACCATTGTAGCTGGAACCACTCGAATTAGGTTGGGTTTGAGACCCTTGTAGAAGCCCCGCCAGCCTTCGTGCCTGCGAAAGGTGAATTTACTATTAGAATATATAGTTATACTAAATATATGAAATGTTTGCTCTTACCTGTACTTGTGAATTTTTAGTACAACACTACTTCGTCGTATTGAATTATGAGTGTTTTATTTAATTATATTATACTTGTAGTTGTAGGTAATAACAAGCTCATAAATTTTTGTATTTATACTTTGTCAGAGATCAAAATTATATTTATTTGTATTATAGGCAGGCAGTATAGAAAAATATTGATTCGGTACTACTAAACTCTCTTTAATGATCACGACAGAACCATCATACTGTACACTTGAAACAGGTCAGGTGTTGAATTTGAGATGACTAGCGACATAGAACTTTAAAAATAATCATGTCATCAAGAACCTTGTAAAAAATACTTCTTTATGTGTTTTATAGTTTTAATATTATAGATATCTAAATAATAATGATAGCTGTTCTTGCATTCTGACAATTATCAGAGTAATGTTTTACCCGAAGTAATTCTTACAAATGTGTGCAGCTAAAATACTTTGAAAATATTTAAATAAATAACAAAGTCAATTTGCTATCATTTATTGATTACACAAATTGAGTAGGCGATTTGAAACAGTTGAACTTTAAGTGATTATACATATAAAATATAATAATAATTGATTATTACAAATTGTTATCGTGGCCAGCCACCAAATAAGACTTATTAACACACACGGTCACAACGCTAGAGGTACGCTAAACGACAAGCTAATATACAATTATATTACACTTTTCTTTTTGTTTTATCACATAATATATAATTATATAGTCTATTACGTCACGACACTTACACGATAGAATACTTAGGGATCAAATGTGTATTCTCAGCATTAGTATTGTTGATATGTGAATAAATAATTTGCAGTGCTATGTGATGCTCTCAAAGACGCGTGGTTGAAATCACTTACATCTTATGTTAAAGATATCGTTTAAGACTTGTGTCTTCGTTATTTTAAATTACTATAATTAAAAATAATTTAAATCCACGAAACAAAGAAAACATCCTAAACTACAGATTAAATTCTTAGTTCGTGTATCGTTAATCACACTATGTTTTACGAATCCCTGTGAACTCGACCAAGTTCAACATTATCATAAAAAATTAACACGTCACGAATTATTTTATTTCTTTTTTTTAGCTAAATCATTAGTCAGCGGTGGTGACGTCAACAAAAAAAAATTGTGGTGTCATTTTCAATACACGCTTTAGTTTATTTGTAAATCTTCTCAAGAAGCATCACACATGGAGACCACACAATTCAAAGCTACCCACCTTTACTACTCAATAATGTATTATCTCACTATAATCATACAATATTCTCTCTCTTTACATAAAATTATTTTTATTAGACAAAAAGGTAAAACACTACATTTAAGAGACGTCAACATAAATATTTTAAAGTGGAGTTAATGTGCAAGGCTGTGCCTGTATACGAAAACCACGTTAACCTACTTACGCCTAATTTATTTTAAATTTAATATTGGGATTTAACACAATAACTTACTAACAACAAAGTCTTTACTAAATTTTATTCTACAGTTTTATTACTTCGACAATGATTTTTCCGAAGTCTTATTATTTAGTAAGCCTCGTGATAGGAGATGATTCCAAATTAAACATGGGAATTCATAGCGTAATATAGTTTTGGACTATGTCCACGCGACGAGAGTTAACTAGAACATATCTGACATTCGTTCCAGCCCATATACACCTTCAAATAATTCGCGACCCTTATTTCTAGTAGTGCATATAAAATGCGTGATTCAAATATGAGTGTTGACTTACTATAAATAAGACCTCCTTTTAAAGTGTACTTTAAAGCAATATCCTTGCGTCATGATAATTTAGAAATCACAGTAATAACTTCAGAATATTGTTCAAAGCTAAAAATCTCATCCATGATGTATCAATACTTAGGTTTAAATCAATATAAATACTACAAAGTTAGCCCTGTAGTGTCTAGCCCTTAGACGAATCTCTAGCGATGGGACCTTACCTCAAATAGATCAAATCAGATTACTTAATTAATCACATGTCATTTTTTTTATCTATCAGTTTTTTTTTTGTTTTTTTTTTCGTATTTATCTATTTCAATTCAGAATGTCGTACATTTACGTAATTATCGTAACAGATAGTGAATCGCAATGTGTGAAATAAATAGAGTATTTTATGTAACAAACTTCCTAATTACGTTGAAACTTCCACGACCTAAGGATGTGTGTGTTTGTACTACACTTCAATGATAATAACGGGGGTAGGTAGTTATATTTTTGTATTTTTTTAATTATATATCTAGGTGATGGAAATTTTTTGAGGATACAACAAGGAGGCAGTTATTTTTTAATATTAATAATTAAGACAGAACAGCTTCATACTTGCGAAATGTATACCTTTTTATGTAATTGGTGAAAACAGCACGACATATTTTATTTGTTTATTATATGTACAAAGCAAGATGAAACAATACTATCTTACACGCTAAAAATCCTAACGTCGTCTCACCACACATGTAACGTTGTTTCGAAAAGGAAATTGTCTTTTAATTTTTGTTTCTTTATTATTTAAATACTTCGGGAATCGTGAGTTTTAAGTACATACCCTACTATCACAAAAATATAAATTAAAACTAAATTGTGCTATGCATGGCAATACTTTGTGGTGTTGCCAGCTTAAAAATAAAAGTCAGTCACAATCTGATGGGAAAGAGTAACACTACTATTTACAAGAGATTACTAAATAAGATAAATAATAAATAACACAACATATGTCGTGAGACAGATTTTACATTTACATTAAGATATTATAAGTATCATTACTTTATAATACAGTCAGTGACACAAACTTTCACAATACTCTCATTTTATCTTTTCTAGACTTCCTTTTAATGCATTAATTAAATTCAAAAAGCTCGAGTCACTGAGTGTATAATCTAGTTTATATTTTCTAATCATAATTTTACAATTTCTCAAAACATAAACCATTACAAAATCGGGAAACTCATTTTATACCTGTACTATAATGTGTCCCTTTACTGGTTTATATGCCAAATCGTAAGTCATAACTATCAATCAGCGAACCTTTTAAAACACTTTGTCTAACGATCATTTTGAACTGCGAGAGTCACGTCAAAGTTGACAATACAATACAAAACAAAAAAGAAAATGCGAAATTATACATTTACGAGCTAAATTATAAATTATCCCGCTTATGAACTAGAACTCTTACCTCAAACACTCCATCGACAAAAAAGAAAAAATAACACCGGTATAGTCTGGCGTGAGAACTGTCAAAATCAAAAACATAATAATAAATAGTTGTGTACACGTTTTCCCATCAGATGACAATTTTTATTTATTCATTATTAGTAAACTTTTCCCAAATGAGCATAACTAAGCATATATTTGGCGTTACATGTAGGAGGTACGGTGTTAGGCCTTTGTAGAAGCCCCTGAGGCGTTCGTACCTCCAAGTCTCGGTGATGCAGTGCCAGGCGCCATTGTAGCTGCGGTGCTGGTCCTGGAGTCGAGCCCTCACTACTTGGTAAGGGTAGGTGGCGCCAGCGGCGATTAGTTTTGATATGGCGGCGAACGTTAAATACTCAACTGACGTCTGAAATAGAAAAGGACCATTGTTTATATCAAATAGGACAATCATTTCACACCATAAGGCTGAGTAAAAGTTAGGCATATTATTTTCTGCAAATACAGTCTCGTTTAGAATGGTATGAGTAGCTTCAATCCAATCCCGTAAACAATTAAATTCAATTTAATAAAAAATATACTAGATGGCGTTAGTAGATTTTCTTACACCAGTCTCTCTCGTCATTTCCTATAGGTTTTAGCAAGTCGTTAAAAACCAAATTACCCATTATTAATTCATTATAGCGTACATTACAGTACATTTTGTGTTAGGGTTCGTTGATTTGGAATAATTTAGCTCTTTACAGCTCATGCTAATCCTTATGAGTACTTTCTTTTTCTGAGAAATACCAGTAGGTGTTAAATGTAAACAAAATATTTTTTTAAACTCATTGTTCGGTGCCACCCTGCATTTTTATATAGAACTATTGCTGGAACTGCACGATTATGTGAATTATCACTTTGTTTCTCGAATTTTCGTGCAATTTCGTGATACTCGTATAACGTGACAATTTTTAAGAATATAGTTACCTCAAGTTTATGTATAGAAGATGGAAACTAACATTTTCAAGTAATTTGTGCAAAGTTAAAATGGTGAGTAATATAAACCAAAACAAAATCAAATTTTATTAAATCTTGATTCAATATACTATACACAGAAAGTAAGGATTATAAATACAGCTTAATAAGGGATGTTAGGGATACGCTCCCGAAAAGGAAGATAGACGATAGTAATAATGATACCATTGATGGTGTATCAGAAAAAAAATCGATGCCGACAAAAAAAAAAACGATTCCGATAATAAAAATCTATACATCTATTTACAAGGTTATATCCATCAGCTTCCCGATCACCTGTTTTTTTAGTAATGTTTTTTTTTTTATAAAATTATCAATTTATTTAGTTGTACTAACTTGTTGGAGATTAAAAGTGCCTCTCAATGCTCAATGGATCTATGTAAGGTTCAACAAATGTGCTTTTTATGTTTAGGTATGTGACCCTGAATGTTAAGCCGGAGTTCGTGGGTTCGATTCCCACCCAACACCAATATATTATGTGATAAGCACGATCATGTGTCTGAGTGTCATCATCATCAACAGCCTTTACTAGTCCACTGCTGGACATATGCCTCTCCTTAACTGTTTCAAGTTTTCCTTCTCTTTGCAGTGCTGTTGTCCTGCGTACTTTGCTCCCTTAGTGGGCTCTTACGACACCCACGGGATGAATAATGACATTCCGTATTCTTAATCCATCACCACACAGACACGGTGTCTGAGTGTAATTTGTCTATAATATGTATGTATTTAAAAATATTTAAGTTTGTTTCTCAGCTTTCTGGCTGACTGCCGTATGTGCCATGTAGTGATATGTGTTAATCTATACTAATATTATAAAGCTGAAGAGTTTGTTTGTTTGTTTGTTTGTTTGAACGCGCTAATCTCAGGAACTACTGGTCCGATTTGAAAAATTCTTTCAGTGTTAGATAGCCCATTTATCGAGGAAGGCTATAGGCTATATATCATCACGCTAAGACCAATAGGAGCGGAGCACCAATGAAGAATGTTTCAAAAACGGAGAAAATTTATTACTATTGAGAGACGCAGACAAAGTTGCGCGGGTCAGCTAGTTTTTATATAAATATCCTTAGAAATTCCCCGCGTACCGCCATTAACAATAACATTGTTTGTTTTTCTTATAATTATGCTAAATACATGCAGTGTACAGTACACGTGTAAAAAATTAAATGCAATGCATAGAAAGCAACATGAATTTAACATTCACAGTAATAATAGACAGGTTAGTCCGGGTGGGCAGGTTCATACATATACATGAGACAATATACCTTCTTTGGTTGAGCGTAGAACGAGGTTAAAATGAGGAAATCATTATAAATGTGTTTATTCATATTCATCCTAGGTACAATATATTATTTAAATATTAAAGTTTCCTTTTAATCATCAAAGAATATTACTATGTTATAATTTTTGAGTAAATAATTTAAGTATTCATAAAAATAAACATTAAAAAATAATATTATAAGTTTTATTAGTGTATCATGAAGTAACGTCTATAGGAATCTAATGTTTATTTGTTACTCAATCAGGTTAGAACGGCTACACGAATCTGGATGAAATTGGGCACATAGATAGGTTATACTCTGGGGTAGCATATAGGCTACTTTCGAATAATATCGCGATAATATTTATATTTTCATATAGATATTATCGCGAGCCAGGCATTTTTTTATAATTTATCCTTTGTAACAAAGGATAAATTATAATTAAACTAATTTTAACTTATAATAATAATAACTTCACACATCTAACACATGACAGTCTGATTCCGAACTAGGCCGCCGGTGATATGGTAACCAAACGGCTGATAGACAAACTTATTTATTTCTGTATACATACATTTTATAGAAAAATTTTCCCCTAGATACCGAAAATATGATCGTGCTCATTACACAATTATTGGCCCTTGGTGGGAATTGAGGCTTAGCAGTCATGGCCACTAACCACTAGACCAACAGGCCAGTCACTGGGACTGACTCTTATTTTCTGATTGTTTAAACATTTTCTCTATGTCTAATTACTCTATTAATATAAAATCCCCTTGGGCTAGGATTTTTTTTTTTTGTCACACAACTCTGATGAGATGTCTGATCCCAAAGTAGGCAGAGCCTGTACTATGGTAACCAGACTGCTGATAAACATACTTATATATTTCTAAATACATACATATTATAGATAAATTACACCCAGACACAGAACAAATGACCGTGCTCATCACACAATATTTGTCCTGGGTGGGAATCGAACCCACGACCTCCGGTTTAGCGGTCAGGGTCACTAACCACTAGACCAACAGGCCTGTCAGTTTTGTTTGTACGATTTTAAGTAGGTATTCTAATTGAAATAATCCCCCTTAACTGAAAGCCGGGATCCGCCCCTGTAGAGGTCAGCTACTGATTTAAAGCCGTGTTTCCTTATAAAAACATCCAGTTCTCCAACATACGTCCTTATGTTATCAGGTTTGTGTTTACTGTCACGTAGTAATTGATAAACATTAATTTTGTATTTTGTAATACTGCCAGGAGTTTCAATGCGTTGTATTTTGAAATAGTGATATTTTAAGATAAAGTTGTTTTCAGATATGGATATTTTTAAATGTAGCAGTTTTATGACGCGATTAGATTAGAAACTGCCTTTTTTGACTGATAGACGGTTTTTTTTTCATATTTACTCAGCATAAACAGCACTATTTATGTGTAGTCTAAGAGCCCTTTGTAATAACTCAAGTTATCAATGCCTACAAATATTGTAAAGCCCAAGTAATTCTCTCTGTCTGTTACGCTTTCACGCTTAGCTGTGTGGTACACGCGGGCGGAGCCACGGGCAAAAGCTAGTATAAGTATAAAAGAGACACCAATGTCTTATTTCATCTAACTAGCGCCAGTGGGACACGTGCCTCACTTGTAATTGCGTATGTAAGTGAAGGTTTATAACCTTATCACAAAGCAAAACTCGTGGTTTTGATGCCATTGTAATTCGAGAGAAAAAAAGAATGATTAAAAGGCATCCGCCGAGTCAGACTCATGCTTGGTTTAAAGAGTATCGAAGATTATTAAAACTTACTAATTTGATGTCAATCGGCAGATTTCTGTATTGGTTGTATCGGTTCTTCATTTCTTCGTACGTCATGAACTGAAGCGCGCCGTGGGACACGCCGAACATGCCTGGTACGAAACCCTGAAAAATGCATTACACTACATAAGCATTCTATGAATATAACTGTATGATATTATAAGTTTAAACAAAAAAAAAGCATGAAGTTTTGACGACAAGACCCGAGCCAAGTTGGTATCCGGCTAGTATAAAGATCAACGCTCCAATTTGAGCCACTTTCCTGACACTCTCATAACATTTTATTGAGATAAATTTCGACCTGGGAGCTAAAGTGAGTATTAGTATCACTACAAGTGCTACAGAGTAGTGGAGATACTCTTAGTGCCAGAGAGCGTATTTTGTGGAAGATTGTTTCTTGATGTTTTTGTGGGAACAGCAATGCTGTCAGTCGATTACCCATATACAGAGTAGAGGAAATTATTAAAATTTAGAATTACTATAGAAGGGATTATATTTGTCGATAAGCGGCGAAGGCAATGTGCTGCCTTTTTTATAAAAACGCATTGGAATTAGAAGTTTTTATGTTTTGTTTAATTTGTTTGAAGATCCAGTTCCATATATTTAGGCTTTAAGCAAAAATAACTTCTGGATGTCATTTCCTGTTAATGTAAAAACCTATTAGTGTAAAAAATAGATTCATGTTTGATTTCGCGTGACTTCGGGCACCAGGGCCTTCCTTTCTAGGGTATACCTGGTTCCCCGGCTATTAGTACCCGGCGAAGGCGTGCGGTTTTAGTCGGTTCGAGTCCGACATGCCACCGACAGGTGGTATCCGAGGGGATTTCCGCACGGAAAAAAAAAAAAAAAAAAAAAAAAAAAAAAAAAAGGGCCAGCCGTACCTTACGTGCACTGATGATGCCATTCCTAGTCTGAACTTCCAGATATTGAAAGGTAATAATGACTAGTGTGAGATACACTAGATAGTAACTACTGATCTTATTAATATTACAATAAATATGACGAATTAAGTAAAATTCAATATAATGCCTAGTGTGTTACTACTCCAAACAGCTCATACGACTTCGAAGATATCCATATACCAACCAAAACACACCAACCACCACCAATCCATATACCAACAACCAAAAATATACCAACTAAAACAAACCGCCTCGTAAAGAAAAGGTAGTTTAAAGAAAATGATTTCAATAATTAGACTGTTCTAATTCGATAACAATCGCGATGATTTTGAACTTTATTGCTTTGTTTATAAAATTCATAAATTTAAAACTAAACAAGATTAACTAATGATATTATAATCTAAGCATATTGACCTAATAATGGATAAATGATTGGAAGTAATTATATTATTTTAATCACGTTATAAACACTTATTTAACTTTGGAAACTAGCTAAAACTAGAATCAACTCCAATGCACACATCATACTTCATGATGAATTGTAATTAACTGTATTCTTCATTCCTTAATTTATGATTATTAATGATACCAAACGGGAAGTATATCCTCCAAATAAAAAAAACACCTAAGAGGTGCATAATTGACGCAGTTCTGAGGTATAATACATTAAAGGATTCAGCCGAATTGAAAAGTCTTGGAAAAAACAAGTAGTATTCTTTTTGTATTTCTAATGTAATCTATTTAGATAGGGTTAAAACGTAAAATCTTTAAATACATATTTTAATATTAGCTTTTATTTAAGCGGTAGTATTATAATAGCGGAGGATTCAACCTTGTACTTATTAATTACAAGGTTTCCAGGGCTATTGGCCTTATCAATATTTAGCTTCCTACTTATTTGTTGAACATGTGTTGCAGGCTCTGAATCACCGTCTGTCCGTCTGACAGTTTGAGCTAATCTATGAACGCCTTTGTCCCGAGTTGACCAGTATAAACCGATGCAACTTGCTTTGTATTACAAACAACAGGCCAGAGAAGTTAAATGATTTCATCGGCACGAGTTCCACCGCTTATACGTACGCTCCACGAATGTCATTCGTACCAAGAAGCGAAACAATGAGAAATTGTCGTCAACTTACTCTTCAACTTTCACTTTATTTTCGCAATATAATTCGCAAATAATATTTATTTAGCAATAAAGTATATTTTCCTTTCAGATTATTTGTGCTATAAGTATACAATATAGGACAAAAACACACTTGGAAAACACTGTTCAGGAAACAAAACAAATTAAAAGGGATTGTGACATCATACAACATTTACTAGCGTAAATTGAGGTACATTCTTAGTATGCCTTAAAAAATGATAAAAAAACTACTCTACCGTACTTATAATGTTAGGCATTTTAAACTAAAATATTAAGAAAAATTTAGAATCAGCTGTAGTAAATCGTAAAAAAATATCGATATGTTTATGAAGATTTCGAAACGAAACAGAACATCAAATATCATATTAGTAGATCGATACCTATATAAAAAAAAATGTTACAATGCGCGCCTTAACATAACATATTTAAGTATCGATAGCAAATTAACTTCAACTTTTTCAAAATTTTCCCGTGAGATTGGTGACTAAAATAAAAAATGGTTAAAAAAAATGATAAAAAGCCGCTGGTTTCCTGTTTCTTATTTTTTTTACCTGTGCCTTTAATGTAATAGACAGGAAATGTCTGATTGAAAAATCTGCCCTAGTGTGACAGGGGATTTTGGATTACTGATTCAAAATCCCCCGTCACACTAGGGCAGATACGCTGCGATCTGTTGGGAAAGGTTTAAAAAAAAAAAAAGGTTAAGTCGTGTGCAAAAAAAAATAAGTCAGATAACACTTTGTTATTAGCTGAAAAGATTAATGAAACTAATAAAGTATTAACATGCCTTAATTACTCAAAAAATCGATTTATTTAAATCTCAGCACTTATCTTGGTTTTATTGATAAATATTGGTATACGTAAACTACGTTTATCATTGGAAGACAATAGAAAAATAATCGACATGGTGTCAATACTAAAATATATCACATGGTATCCAGGGGAAAGTAGAGGGGTGCGGGGTCTGGAACCTCTATGTGGTGCACCCTGGGCAACGAAGACGGCAGTGCCTCTCTCCCCGGTGAGCGAGGCACTGCCGCCTACGATTACGATACGCCAATTCCGGCCGAGGTGGGAATGACCCTCCTGAGGGTTGTTTGTTGGCTCTTCACTGTGCCCTCTGTTTAGCAGAGAGCACAGTGGACAGGAAGCTGAAGGGCGGCCGGGTTCTCTACAGCTGGCTTGGCCCAGAGGTGGTGGACATTGGTTTGATGCAGACCACCGTCCACAAAAAAAAACGGGGGAAAGTAGAAAGAAAGCCTTAGCTTAAGTTAACTGTTGCAATTTTTTTTTTTAGTAAATTCACATCCAGACTACATAATTTTTAATGCCGAATAACGACGCTGGGTAATCTTCTTATTAACCTTGGGTAAACTGAAGCGCCTACGTACATGCTAAGTAGAATATCATAAACAAGAAATACCTTGAAAACCTACTGAGATTATTTCAGTAAATTGGTTTTATACTCATCTCATAAAAAATGAAACTGTAATATTGGACACATTGGCTGGAATTTAAATCATAGACTTTCGGTCTCATTGACTGAGGCGTCCTCATTAGTAGAGGCCTCCAATAGTTTATTATCTTTTAAGTATTTCATAACATATTGGCTAGATCTTAATAGGTACTTGTTGGTGGTTTGGTGTCACATGTTCTTTTAAATATCAATTTATTTACATAATTCCAGTTGGTCAATCAATTACATGCCTTGTATTGAAGGCTATAAGATAAAACAAAATTTGCACCATGCGAACACATTGATAAAATTATTATTGCTTGTTGAACGCATTTGATATCTATTGAACTCTGACCGATATGACCAGTTTTAACTGACGAGAACATTTGGCTCATAACAGCTGATACTGTTGGCGGCAGTAAATGCACTGTCTGGGAAATTGATAAATATTTTTTTGTGAAGATTCCAGAATTAATTTAGTACCTTGGATCTATTGTCAATTAACAAGAAAAACGAGGTGAGAAATTTTTCTTCGGTGAGAGAACCATACATCTGCACAAATGGGCCAGCTTGAACGAAGTGATTCCACATCTTTACAGAAAACCTGTGTTAAGCATTTTTTCATTGTTTTCAATGAATGAGAAAGGTTATCACAGACCCCTCTCCCTCTCCTCCCATTTGTGGGGGGGGGGGGGGATATTAGGGCGGGCAAGAATTTGTCACTCTCGACTTGCAGGTGTCCATAGTCGGCAGTAGTTACTTAAGATCAAGTAACCCGTCAGCTGGTTTACCCACTATACCATAAAGAACACGAAGAGGTAATTCTTTGCTAGGGTTTTTTGTCAGAGTTGATTAATGATATTTATTTCTGTAAGTACTCAAGAAGAAGAAGTTACTCTCGTCAGAACTTGTCCTGCAAGTCCATTTAAATTTAACTTGCCATCCTTATTTCAATTCAATTTTATGTACTAAATCTTGCAATACTAACGCGCTATTAAGGCAATATTAGGGTTGCCACCTTAGTTACGATAGGAAACAGATACAATTAACCTCAATATTATACCCAAAACAACCAATTTTAGAGATATGAGCTACTTGTGCAAGTACGGGCATCAACGTGAACAAAATTAAATCAATAACCTATATATACTTGTAGTAAACTTTATTCGGTAGATAGATACCGCTGATATTGGCAGATGTTCAGGGACATGTAAGTTGTATTAAAACGCCCGCATTATAATTATAGTTCCACTGACACAATATGCTGCCCCGGACCCCCCGTAAGCTTATTGACGTCAAATAGGCACTTAAGTAATTAGATGGGATAATTGGACCTTTATTGAAAGGAAGTACTGACACTGGATGAAAAGATAAGAAGTAATAGGTTATCTTGGTATGGACATGTCATGCGGAGGGATGAGGAAAACATTGCGAGGAAAGTTTTAGGTATGGGAGTTGAAGGATACAAGCGAAGAGGAAGGCCAAAGATAAGGTGGATGGACTTGCGAGAGAGGATATGGTTGGGAAGACAGTGAACTGTGAAATGACGAATGATAGAGTAGAATGAAAGAAAAATACGTATTGCGGCGACCCCAAATAA